TCTCATGTTACGGGCTAACTATTTAAGTTTCACCAATGTGTAAGGGGAGAAGTCATAGACAAAGTTAATTTTTCTGCATTTTATGTTAATTCAACTTAGCATCAATTTGTGGTTGGTATGCATGGATACTCGTGACTCCATCTAGAGTACAGATCATTCAAGTATATGTTACTATGAATACATATATTTATATGGGTGAAGTTACATGTACAAAAAAATTTTAAGTATATAAACTTGTGTGTTGTGGATATATATATACATATATATACAAGCATATATATATGTATATATGGAAAAATAAAAGAAATGAAGTAAATAACTAACAATTGAATATAAAAAATGATTTTGAAATTTTAATCACAAGCTTAGTAATTTAAAAAAAATTAAAGTCAAGAACTTGGTAGACCAAGAGAAACACATAGGTAAGTAGAAGTCTGCCATTAAACTTGTTTAAACACTTATAAACAATTATAACAAAAAAGGCCAAAAGAACAATAAATTAAAAAATAAAGAATAGTAAAATAATAATAATACCTTAATAAAGCAAATGGAGAACCAAAGTAAGTATATTTAGAAATTATATTATTAAAATAAATAGACAATTAAATTATGAATCATTGACCAAAGTGATAAAGGGATATGATGATAAAGTTTTTGGAATAACAAATAAAATTGAGAATAAAAGAAGATATTAAGTTAAATTACAAACAAAAGAAACACTAACTAAAAAAATAAAAAAGAAACCAAATAAGCAATAAAATTAGAATAATATAAATAAGTTAAGGAATATTACAATAGGGGATAAAAAAATTCAAAATAACAACAAATAAAAGTAAAAGGATTACTGAAAGACTATGAAACCGTTTAGTATGTATTAGAGAAGGAGGGTGCGCGTGTAGCCATTTTTGGTAACAAATGTGCTTCAGTCAGACAAGTTGCGAAGCGCATATTGAACATATTTGAGAAAGTGTTCAGTGATATCCATATTGAACTACAGGTGGAACGGGGATTTAAGTGTTAAGTGATTAGTATTTTCTATCCATATTGTTGAAGGAATCCTTAATAACCTAAATGGTACTAGTAAAAACAACATCTTCATATGAAACTCTTTAATAAATAAAAATAAATGCCAATGGAATTGTTAGGGGTCTATTGTGGATGAAGAAGTCGATGTCATTATGAGTATTCCTATAAGCTTCAGAAGAAGGGCTAATAAATGTATTTGGTGTCACTCGAAGGATCGCAAATAGATCATAAAATTGGCATACCAGCATTTGATGGGTTTCCATGCCAACCATTCCCAACGATCATTTAACATGTGGAAGTATTTGTGGCAGTCAGAAGTCCTCCCCCCCCCCACCCCCCCTCAATTAATAATTTCTCTGATCGATTGTTGAATAATATTCCCATGGAAAAATCTAAAC